AAAAAAACAGCCCCCCCCCCCCCCCCCCCCCCGCCCCCGGGCCAAAGATTGCAGCGCAATATAGGGGATTTAGGCGGCACGCTTGCAGCAGTCTATTGTATAGGATTTAGTGTGTCCATAGTAAAACCGATATTCTCTTCATTGAACAGACTGTCGTGCCGCATTCTAAAACCCATAAAATTTTCTTCATCTGTAGGCTTTGTGTCGTCATACTAATTCCTACACCATACTCTAGACCTCGCGACCAAGAGTTACGCGTATTCTTGGGGTTTTTCCTTAATTTCCACTAGCTCTCTGTGTGGGATCCCGCGCGCGCGCGCTGAAGAAAGCCCCCGAAAATGTCGAAACCCCGCGGATTTCATCAAAATGTCCCCGACCGGGGACATATAAGGACCACACCCCCCGCGACCAAGATTGCAGCGTAGCCCAGGGGTGTTCCGACGTTTCCAGATGGAGGGCCCCTTGTCTTACATATATATATATCCTGTTTTGTTATCGCCCCCTTGTTGGAAACAAACCTCACATATCGTGAAACCCTTTGGTGCTTTTTGGCTTTGCTCCCCTCTCTGCTCACAACTCAAAACCACCTTCTCTTGTCTCCAACAACAACAGCATCTAGCACCACCACCTTCATCATGGCTCAGCAAGGCAGCACTCCCCCGCGGTATAATGTCAGGGTAACGGCCGACCCGTATGCGCCTGAAGGCCAATCGAGACTTGGCAAAGTGCTGTTCTATCCTGGGCGGAGATAGAACGCGCAGGCTGCCTGGCGCAGATGCGATCGATGAACATCGTGAGCTCTTTGTCCAAGCTTCGTGCTTCTTGCCGGAAGCAGGGGGTCAGTAGAGATTCAGCTTATGAACGATGTTACTCTTGTTTATGAGGAGAATGGTGTAGCGGCTGACGGCACTGGCGATGCAGCTGGCGCCTCGTAGGTTCGATGCTGTAGAGGAAGACTTGCAGTTGATGGGAACAAGTAAAAAGAGAAAATAGAATGGCGTTTTTTGGGGAACCGACCCTTGTCCGCGGGCATGAGACTTGTGCCGGCCGATAAGGGTCGGTTCCTGAAAACACTCTTTATTTTTTGTACTTGTTTCCATCACCTGCAGGTCCTCCTCTACAGCATCGAACCTACGAGGCGCCAGCTGCATCGCCAGTGCTGTCAGCCGCTACACCATTCTCCTCATTAACTAGAGTAGGATCGTTCATAAGCTGAATCTCTACTGACCCCCTGCTTCCGGCAAGAAGCACGAAGCTTGGACAAAGAGCTCACGATGTTCATCGATCGCATCTACGCCTGGCAGCCTGCGCGTTCTATCTCCGCCCAGGATAGAACAGCACTTTGCCAAGTCTCGATTGGCCTTCAGGCGCATACGGGTCGGCCGTTACCCTGACATTATACCGCGGGGGAGTGCTGCCTTGCTGAGCCATGATGAAGGTGGTGGTGCTAGATGCTGTTGTTGTTGGAGACAAGAGAAGGTGGTTTTGAGTTGTGAGCAGAGAGGGAGCAAAGCCAAAAAGCACCAAAGGGTTTCACGATATGGGAGGCTTGTTTCCAACAAGGGGGCGATCACAGAACAGGATACATGTGCTGTAGTCACCGACCCCACGCGGCCTGTACGCGTTCAAAACACACCGTTCTTTCGTATTGGTTTTTGCCTCCCGTCCTCCATCGTCAACATTCTCCCCTTAGCAAGGAACTTTGAAGTAGAATGGGTGGTGCTTGGCACTCGTTTCGTGACATTTCAAAAATACTCATACGTGCCTTGTTCTGTTTTTCGTCCCGCAATGTTATAGACCACTCGCGACACATCCTTCCTCGAAACGAAACCGACAGCAGCTGATGTGGTGCATGACGGCCCACACGAAATTCGTGTAAAGGCCATTTGATTTGCAGGGAGGAAGGTCGCTAGTTGGCTGCCGCCCTGCGTTACATTGCGGTAAAACTCTCTCAGTTGAATATCACACCTCCCTCCAAATTTGTTCGATCAACCACGTTATTCCGCGGATACGAAACAAGAGTACTTCCTCTATATGAGGGCAGGTAGGCAATTAAGAATCTGCCACTGATTGCATATTTTTCTCAAAGCACCTGTGCCTCGCCTGCGGTCTCTCTATCTCTCGCTTTGTGTCCCTCTCGCTGTCTCGTTGCCTCGCTGTCTCGCTCTCGTTTCATACGTCTCAATTTCCGACCCGGTGTTTCTCATGTCTTCCACCTCAGGGGTCTTCCTCCCCCCCTCCCCAGTCCTCTCGGTGGGCGACCTCCTCGTCCAAGCTCAACATCTCCCCGTACGAGGAGTACATGGCGCTCAGGTGGGGGCAACGAGCTGTCATTTCACCCTGGTGCTTTTGTTATTCTGCTGCGGCGGTGGTTTTCTCGGCGCTTGTAGACAGTTCCTACCTAGAACCACCATCTCAAGAACCCGCCCGCAAAGAAGATGTTTTGAGATGCCGCTGATGTTGCTTTGGGCTCTCATAACCTTAAGTTGTCGACGTGGAACGGAACACATCAGCAGTTGATGTCGGCCGCCACAATTCGTCTGTTTCGAACTAAGCTAAGATTTCAAAGTAGAGAGGCCGATAACCGATAACCAACCAACATTTAACACAGTGCCTCAACATAGCGTGCGTACCAGTACCGTCAACCTGGGTAAATATGGTCTTCCAAGTACTATGTGCGAGCCCCCTTCCTTGGTTTTCATTTTGGGATCTCGATTTCTTTCCATTCGTGTCGAGCTCATTGTAAATGGTTGGCAACGAGCAGCCATCGCACCCGGGCGCGCCCTTGACGATTGGGAGGATCGACGCCCGCCTCGCAAGTGCCATATCCTAGGAACTCTGCCTTTGCCGGAAGATCGACAGTCGAAACACAGCAGGAGGCCTTGGGAACACTATCGCTGCATGTGGTGTGTCCCCTTACACCGCCCGTTCATGCTCGAGAAGCCGGAATGCAGCGGTGCTGTACCTGAGCATGATACACCTGCCATAACGTTCAATCCATGAGACTGTTTGGCCTCGTTGCACCGATCCTTGAGATTTGTGCAACAAGGGGCCGCTTTCCACACACTCTTTTCTTTTTCTGTTGTGCGCTGACGGGAACAACTATTTAGCGGACTGCAGTACGATCTACGCTGGCTGTGCCCTTATCAGAAGAAACGAGGTCTGTTAGAAGTGGTTTCTTCTAGCATTGTATTTTTCTGTTGCAGTATTGACCCTTAATTTTGGCTTTTACCGCTCCCTTCCCCCCGCCTGCTTGTTTTCGTATTTGGCCCGTTCGCCTTTTTTTCTTTCATCATGAATGATTTCGTCTTTTCTGGGGTTCCAGGCAAAAGAAGGACTCCGGAAAGACCGTAACTCCCGAAGCCGATCAACAGATTTCACTTTTCGACTCCTACACGTCGTCGAGGTTAGTGTAATACCGTCCAGCAGAAGAAGGGATACGAACGTTAGTTGTTGCTTATTTCGGTGTGTGGTGATGGAAATGTCGGATGATAATCTTTTGCCCATTGTCGAATTTCGACGCTCTCCTCCAGGGCATCTATTTGGTGCGGTCCGGCAACACGGCCTGTTCTTTTTTGCTCTAATTTCCCGTCACGACGTTGTGTGCGTGTGGATACTTTGAGAGGAATTCGGATTTCCGTCGCTTCAAGGCTCTTAGCCCGAGTCTGAACCTGAGCACCACGCTCGGTCCATATGGCCGCTTCTTCGCGACATCGTGCTCCGGCAGTTGCTGTTTCAATCCCCCCCCTCTCCATTTGCGAGTTGGGCTTTCCTGTAACTTTCGATTGGCTTGGGCTCGTGTCCCCGGACTCGGTTTGCATGATGAAGCGGGCGTGTTGGTGAGGGTTGGGCTTGACTCACCCCTTGGAGGGCGTTGTTTCGTTTCATTTCGACGCTGTTCGGTTCGTTTCGAGATACCAGGGAGAAGACGGCCGCGCTGCCCCCGGCGGAGAAGGAGAAGTCGCTGTTCGAAGAGTACACCGCGACGAGGTGAGTTGGTTTTTTGATCGCGTATTGGCGGCTTGGTACCGCGGCGCACTGCTGTTTCGTTGGCCTGTTTGTCGATGCTCTAGATCGCGCTTCGTTCTGTCTGTGGTGCTGTGCCTTGCTTGGCGTTGCTCTGTTGTACCCATATGCTGTCGGGCTCAAAGCTTGGTTGTTCAGCGCTCATATTCTGTTTCGGTATACATCTTCGGGTGGGGAGGCTCCTTGAAAACCTCGTGTGCTCGTTTCAACAGAGCGGCCCACCCGTTGGGGTCTGGTCACTCTCCTTTCATACTTGCACAAACCAGAGGTTCGATGCACCCCATAAAACACGAAAGTACTCTGTTCCACAACAACGTAGCACACGAGACGTAGCGTACACCTCACTTAAGTCGGGCAACTTTGTTCACCTCAGTAACCTCCTCTCCTCGACAGTCACATGGTTCCCTCCCTCTCGTACCCCACAACAAGTAGCACCAGTTTCGCGCTCGATGCATGCGCCCATATCTAGCATTCACGTTCGGTAAGTATTCTGCTATTCTGCCTCTTGCGGTTCGTTTGATGGAGGCTCGTCGAGCCGAGAACGCGGCGGAACTCCACTCGCATTTGCCCGACCCCCCCCTCTGTTGGATTCCCAGGGCGACGGTCACGGACCCTGGTGTAGGCCGACCTGCCGCCCCTCCGGCGCCTGCTGCTGCTGCTCCCGCTGCTCCTGCCGCGGCACCGGCAAAGGAGCTCTCCCCTTACGAGGAATACATGCAATCGAAGTGAGCAATGGAGACGAGCATGGTGTCGACGTGGCCGTGCAATGGTGCAAAGTGCCTTTTGCTTTTTGCTTCGATTGCTTGTCTCGCTGACTGGCTTCGTCGAGGCGAATGCTTCTAGCGTGGCTTCTTGCGTGGCGGCTTACCACCTAATGAAACCCTATCGCACTCTCTCTTGCGGTCGGTCGCGCATGTACTTCTGTCGCACTGTGTGGATCCACCTTTCTATGTCTGTCATACAGATCACGCCAAATGTTGACACTGCTGTCGCATTAGTCCCCGTTCCTTTTGGCGGCATTGTGCTCTGTTGTTTGACATCATTCGGTGGCATCGTTCGCTGTGGCGTGGTCTGGCTTTCTGTTTTTCCAGGAACAAGGTGAAGGCTGTCGAGGCCGCAACGACGTTTGAGGAGAAGGCGAAGTCTTCCGTTTACGCGGACTACATGGCATCGAGGTGCGGAGGCTGCTACTGCGGGAACCACTAGTGGGAGACCTTGCCTTGTCTTGCCGGCATTGGCGTTGTAGTTGTTGTGGCCGTTATCGTGACTGTTGATTTTGCCGTTGTCTTCACTTTCGTCGCATCTATCAGTTGATCATGTAGCCTCACAAGCCGCCACCGAAGCGCAAAATCTATGACAGAACAGTTTTCGACTTCACGTCGACAGGGAGGTTATCATTTCCTGGGATGAAACAGACAGCACTGCCTTGATCCATCTGCGGTCCCCCCCCCGCATGCTCATACTTCAAAATCTCCAAATCCGAAGGATGGTAGAGGACGTCACGGCAACACCCGTTCCACGAGCAGACAGACATGAACGAGTGGACGTCGTCACTCAAATACCCACGATTATGGCGGTCGGTGCTCAACAATGAAATGCACGCACCCTCTCGGTGTTGCGAGAACTAGGTGTCCGTCGCTTTGTCTGCTTTTTACACCCTAATGCTGGACGTCCACTCACCCGTGCATGGGCATGTTCTGCCGCACACGACGTTTGGTTCGGTGATGCAGGACCGAAACGACTGGTGCTGCGCCCGTTGACTGCGTGGAAGAGGAGTGCGATGCGGATGAGCTGCAGGAACAGGGAGGGTTGTTCGCAAGCTACATGGCGTCGAGGTATTTTTCGAACTTGTTACAGCTACGTTGAGGCTCCATCTCCGCCATGCTGTGGCCCTGCGCTGTTTGTGTCTCTTCTCTCTGTTGCAATTCGGTGTTCGTTGTTGCTACGATCAATTTGGCGGCCTTTGCTCGAACTTGATGAAATTATCATGGCGGCGAACCCTTAAGCACCGTAAGGAGCGTATTTTCTTCGCTTCTCCCTCTCATGTATTCAAGTTTTTTTCCTTGGCTCGACCCTTTCGCGTTGTTCTCCGTTTGGGTTTTCCGCTGCAGAGGCATGCAGGTGGAGGCTATCGACTCTGTCGTCCCCGAGATCGAGTGCGAGGATGAAGAGGAGTGCACGGCTGAAGAGGAACTTTCGTTCTACGAAAGCTACATGAGGTCGAGGTCAGTGTGGTGGCACAGCGTTTGGCGATCCCCGATTGTGCGCTGCTTGCTTACATGGTCGGCGGCATTGAGTCACTTCGAGTGCGTGCCGCGTCGAACGCCCGATATCCTCGGTGGAGAGTCGCTCTGTCAAATGTTTTTGGCTTAGTGCTGTACATCAGGCAATCGATCGTTTGCGGAAGCATAATTGGCACCCATGAGTAGGTCTCCCTCCCTCTTCTCGAGCCTATATAGCGTGCTCCGAATAAGAATACCACCTCAAATGCTTATTGTCCGTCTCAGTTCCGTGCACAAACGTACGTACAGCAGCAAGTGCACTCACTCGGACGTTGGTGTGATTTGAGTGATTTGATTGTGTTGCGTGTCTCGTTGCTCTTCTTTCGTCGCAGAAACAAGGTGACCGAAGCTGCTGCCACCGTTACCCCGGCGGAGGTGGAGACGGTCTCCCAGTTCGACTCATACACCGCGGCGAGGTATACTGTGTGTTTGCTTACACACAGCCTTGCCTATCCTTGTTGTGGTTGGCTCAGCTGTCTGTGCTTGCTTTCCTTGTGTTTTTGGCTCATCTGGGTGTGCTTCTCTTGGCCGGCTTCATCTGCACTGTGGGATTATCTGGTGCGGCGTTGTTGGTAAAACCGGTGGCTGGGTGCAGAAGCTTGCGGCGGACTATCCGGTTGCTTGACACACGCGTGAGTGCTTACGCGTTGCTGTGTTGCGACGGTTGTGATTCGCTAACACCTTGTGCTGCTGTTGCGCGCCTGCTCGCTGTCGCCCGACTGGTGGCCCCTGCGGCACGCCAGGATTAAGAAGGATGAGGCCCAGGCGGCAATGCCCCCGGCGCAGAAGCAGGCCAGCATGTTCGACGACTACATGTCGACGCAGTCGAGGTTAGTGGCGGGACTTGTACTGGTTGTTTGCCGTTCGAAGGGTTGTTGATAGACTCCGTTCGATTTCGTGCGCGTGGTTGGGTGCGTGTACAGTAGCGGCATTCCTCAACTGAACTGACGAAGAGAGACTCGCATGTGGATAATGTGCCGTATGGTTGCGCACTGGAGCAGGGTGCTCTCGGGCGGTGATCAGTGGACTCGACTATGCACAGGCATATAGGTTGCAGCTTACGTTTTCATGCGACGCCCCATTCAAGATTCTTGTTGATGCCGCCGACACGTTCGCAGGTTTTCGTGTAAGTTGAGCTAGTCCACTTTCACCTATTCCACTATTACTACAGTGGTACCTTTTTCCAAAGTGGGTTCTGGCACACCTTCTCAACCCTAACCCCTCCTCTCTCATACCGTGCTCACGTATTCACAAAACGCTTTCCCTCACTCTGTTGTCCGCTTCCGTCCCCGCTTCCGCCGCTTGCATGCCCGGCACCCTTCTTGGTGGTGACACTTTCGTTGTCTGCCTTGGACGTCATCAGCGGTTCTTCATCGGTGAGAGAAGTGTCCACGTTTGATTCTTGACTTCCACCCCATGTTGACAGTGATGTGTCACAAATATTTCTTCAGGCGCGCGCTTTGTTTCTTACAGATAGAGGAGCGATCTGTAAGGAGTGCCGACCCCTCGATGACTGCAACGTAGAGGAGTAGTGGGGAATTGTAGACAGTCAGCCAGGTCGTGTTGGTAAACTGTTGCAAAACTGTGTGTGTGTGCGTGTGACGATGCTATTGCGGCACTGCTTGCGGTTTGTAAAGCCATACACGTCCTCGTTGTTCTGCATGTGTTCGCCACTGCCACCTGCTGCGACATACAAAGGTGTTGGGACACTGTTAGGCCTGAATGTCACCGTCCGCAATGTTACCGCCCTTCTTCACCCCCCTCTGAATAACATGCTGATCTCACGTCGCTGAACAAACCCGCTCTCCATGCCGTTCTCCCCATTATTGTGGGCCCTTTTTGTCGTTTCTGATACAACAGAAGACTGCCCCCGGGCACAAGGGCACCGGCGGCATGGCAGACACCCGCGACCCCGCACCTGTGAACCACGCCGACCCCCGCAAGTCCATCTCCGCCGCACCCTCGTTTGCGGAGTACCTCAAGTCCAAGAAGAACTAAATGGGAGGCTGTTCCCATCTGGCATGAACCGCAGAGTCGCTGGGCACCCTGAAAGAGGCCGGCTCCCGCGATCGTGTTTTTTTTTGGCAGTATAGTGCGATAGGTTCTCAGGCGGCGGGTCTTGGGCCAAAGCCCGCGGATGATTTGTGTGTTTGTCGTAGGTCGGTGTTTGCCCTATCCATGCCGTGGGTGGAGGTCGTTTTTTCGTTTTGTTCATCTGCAAGAAGCTAAGTCGCGGTTCGGTCGATCCGCCCCCTGGCTTACTTGTCTGTTGCCAGGCAGCGAGCTCCCCATAACGTGGTGATACATTTTATTACTCTGTCTTCACTGCTGTTGTTATTCATACTTCATGAAAGGGATCGGCAATAAAACGAGTGAGGTGTTCCCGTGTTTTTTCTTTGTCCTGTTTTGAAGTCCCACGCAACGTTGCACTCGAACCTAGTCGGGAAACCGGCTCTTATCTAAGAAATGGAAATGCTAGGGGACTTTTGGAGATGGAAGAGAATCCAGCAGCGGTTCTTTAGAGATGGGGCTGGTAGGTTTGGCGGTAGGTAGGGGTATTCTTTGCCCCCTCCGTTGGCGCGATAATACACGCACGGAAAGCGAAGAGTCAGCGGGATTTCGGGTTGCCATTTTAAAGAAGCAAAGACGGCACGTCAAACATACAATTTTTGTAGGATGTACCACGGCAGTGTGCGGGCGGGCGTAGAACTCTTGGTTGTTTGCTAAATTCATGTTCCTTGAATATGGTCGGACTTCGAATTGTTCTCGAGATAAAGATGTTTGTGAACACGGGTCTCTGCGACTTGGTCTCGTCATTGTGTAGGGGGGGTTGGAACGGGGGTGAGGTCTGGGAAGTCTTGCCGCGAAATTCAGGGCTAACATTTGTGATTTTTGGTGGATAGCCGTGGAAGTCTGGAATCTTGGAAAGGGATGCTTCTGGAGTCTTGGAAAGGGATGCTCCCTCGGGTGTTGAGACTCTTTTTCCAAAGCTGGGGTCGGCTCCACTTGTTGCGGGAAAATGCCTCGAATGCGAAACGAAGACGGGGAAATATCGATTTCACCGTGCTTACAAGGGCATTGCGTGAATTATGAAACCCGGCCCCTACAAGTTCGTTTGGTGGTCCGCTCGACTTGTGGGACTCCCCACTGCCACGAAAATGGGGCGAGTACTCGACCGACCGGGGACAAGGGTGCCGAAGGAAAAGGCCCAACGACCCAACAGTCAGGAATAAATCTGTCTGTACAGTGTTGACATATTTTTTGGGTGTGTGACAGGAATGGCAACGGGGCTACACGCCAGGACTGCTTGAAGGGCAAGAATGGGGATGCCACAAGGCGGTTACCCGATCCTATCGCAGAAAGAAATTTCCTGGAAAGTGCCCCACACAATCACATTGCCCCAAAAAATTGTCTGCTCGTTCAGAGAACTACCGAAGCAGGAGGCACTTGTTTGCACCTAGAAACGCCCATTTTCCGCGATGGGTGCGTCTCGTAACTCGCAAGCTCGTTTTCATCTGATTATGGTGTTTCGTGCCCAGTGCAAGGCTCGCGCGCTAATTGCGTGGTGCCCGTGTCCTCTCGGCAAAACTCCGGCCCCGGATTGTTCTCAGATAGATCCCGAATCGGCACGATAACCAGAACCACTGCTGCCTCCTCTGGACATCTGGACACTGGACACTGCTCCTCGCTCCTTCACTTCCACAGAGGCTTACAGGAGGAGACGGGGGGAAGAGTGTCAGACGATCCCGAGCCCAACTGGATGTTGTAGCACCTGTTAAAGTTGGCAAATGCCTACGGAAGGTGAGAGAGGGGTCGGGCAGTATACCTGTTGTGGCAGGAGATCTGCGTGTCGGGGCAACGGGGCGGTGTTGCTACGTAACACATGCCCAACAACTTACCCCGGGTCCACAGCAGTACAGCGCCTGCATTTCTCGCGAGTGGTACGCTTTCCACCCCCTTCGTCATCGCACCCACAACCTTTCGAAGATGCCCATATTGTTGTCGTTTCTTTTCTTTCCGAGCGCACTGGCTGTCGTCATGCGGTGTTTTTTCTCGCAAGAAAGTTGTCGACTCTCGCCACCTCAGTTTCTGTGCCTCCTACATGTATGTATCTATCTCCCAGTAGCTTTCACACACGCAGACAGCTCGCGGGGGATAGCTCTACAAATGCTGCTGCTTCAGTCTGTGGAGAGCAATCACCGACAAACCAAAGACGTACGATTCCCAACGGCCGTTGTTGCAGTTTTTTCTTTCTATGACTCGGATCAACTCCAAACGATCGGCTGCACCGCGAGAAGTGGGCAATCCTTATCTCTTTTTAGCGGGGTTCATCTCTGTTGTACAAAGAGGGACAACCGAGAAGACACATGGCAAGAAATGAATCACCAGTGTTTTTTCGCCGAGAAAAAAACAGTATGGGGGTAGAGAGCGCGGGAGAGTGAGAGAGAAGTTGTGCGAAGCAAGAGAAAGTGCACTTCTGTAGACGCAGCCACTACCTCCACCTATCGGCCATCAGGACAGCCCGCGACAGGGTTATAGAAGGGTTGATGGGTGGTCGCGGTGCGGCCGGCAGAGCGGGTCAGGCAGTGGGGTACCCCTACAAAACACGCAGCTCACGGCGACCCCATGATGCTATCTGATTCGTCGACGCCTGCACCCACCCGATCCTGACTGTCTTTCGACCGTGTGCACCCGATTGTGGCTACTCGATCCCGGATGGGGTGCCCGACTTTAATTTCCTGACTCGAAAAAGGCCAGGGCAGTGTTGGATATTGGTCGGGCAGAAGGGTTCGATACAATACGCCAATCGTATCGAGAAAAAAACACAAATACCGATATTTTGTTCGATATCCCGAAAATGGCTCGATACGTATCGAGTTACGATACTCGATATCGATACGGCTGTTTTGAAGGCCTCAGGTTACAAGAAGAGCGAGCGTTACGCAACTACACGTACCCTGGCACACCCGAACCCTTATCTGAAGTATACAGCTGCGTCAAACGTGCGCGCATGGTCCGGCGGCATGCAAGTAGTGGTGTTTGCCAGGTGCCAGGTGTGTGCAGTTAGTTAGTTGAACATCACGGGCACAACAACAGCGGGCACACGTTGTGGCGTGATGTCGCGCATACAAAATAAAAAAAAACTGCATCGTGCAAGAGGCAGGAGTTGGTTGTGTAGCTATGTCCACCAGATATATTTTACATTTTACAGTCAGTGTGCATGTGTGTATACACGTACACACTATAACACCGCCGTACGGTTGCGATCGAGTCAGTGCAAGCTCGGCTGCGAGCAGGATTTAAACGCGAAAAAAACTCGAACACTTACTTGGTTTTATATTATTATCTTACCTTCAAAGTTATGCATGCAAAATTCCACCCACCAGTTGTGGGTGCCCAACAATCAGCAATGCACCTCGAGCGAGTATCAACTCTAGAAAAACCAACAGCCAAAAGGAAACAAAAGAAAAAACATGGCGAAAAACATTATGTGCGAAAATCAAACGCTTGCCAAACTTGAACACGACGACATCACCTACCTCTATTCATCACACGCCCAACCAAGTGGTCGGACATGAAATCAAGCACACCTTGCCATTCATTACGTATTACAAGTCCCAAAACCAAGTTCACACAGCATAAATTGTCCGCAGGAGGTACGGCCTCTGTTCGCACTAATGTAGCAGTTCTACTGCTGAAACTGCGGGAAACGCCAAATCTACGTAAGGAGGCAAGCTGACTCTAAAATTAACGGGGATGACTGCTACTACTCATTCGGCAGAGGCAGCGCTATCGCCGGCGACAAAGCCGAATTCTTGAAGGCTCATGTTGCACACCGATGTGGTTCTCAGGAGCTGAGACACAGGCGCTGTGGTGTGGTGTGTGGCTGTGATGGCAGTGGGGGGCGACAGGAGTAGGCGCGTAGCAGGCGCCTCCGGGGAGCGAAAAAAGGGGGTATACAGCTGGGAAACTGACCCCCCCCCGGTAAAAAGGGGGCCAAAATATCGAGTATCGAATACCGATATAAATACCGACCGATTCGTATCGACAAATATCGGCGTGGAAACCGGCAATACCGATACTGCGTATCGGCGATATATATCAGTTTTGTATCGATATTCGATACCCAATATCCCACACTGGGCCAGGGTGTTCGACATCAACGGCATCAACCATATGAACCTGCCGCATTCTTCGGCCGTGTGGTGCGCTCGCATTTGCGACTTGCACCTTCCGGTGTGCCCCGCACCAAAACATATGCATCTTTTGTTTGGTGCCGCTTTTCCTACTTGCGACAAACGAGCGGCCACTTTTGGAGAACATGTTATCACAAAAGCTTGTTTTCTTGTCTTCTTATTAGAGCTTCGGTGGGTACATGGCATACGCTTTTTGAGAGGTCCGTTTCATCGCTCATGATCTACCGCTGCCAGTCTGGTTTTTGGATGCGAGGGGCACGAACGACAATCACAGTACATATTATTTTACAGAGAGACCGATAGATCCATCTTCAATCGAGATTTCCACCGTTGTTTGGTGCTCCCCCGCCCGCCGCCGACGGAAGTGTCGGAATTCGATGGATGATCGTTGCTGACGTTTGCGGGTCTTTGTAAGTAGCATCGACTTCGCTGACGGGTAATGCGTGCGTTGGCTGTTCGGTTGATCGAAAATTGCGGGCTTTTTCCGGGCAGGAAATTGAAAACCGGGTACGGGAAGGGTGAGTGGCCACGATCAGGTGCACCCGGTGGAACGACGGCCAGGGGCGGGTGGTGGCCGGCGTCGACCAATCAGATGGCGCCATGCGGTCTCTACGAGCGGCGTGTTATAGGGGTGCCCGACTGTAGCCATGTTCGAACCTGGTGTACCCGTTTTTTGGTCATCATTCTTTCAATATTTCCCAATGATGGGTGAGAGGGCTCGAATTGAAGACCCCGACCTATTTAGAACGTATACTTCTGTACTTCTGTGTCCACCCCCCGGCGTAGGCCCTGCCGGCTCACTATCTCCTGATTTTGCCCAGAAGAACACCAGCACACAGCTACGATTTCATGGACTTGCCCACACCCGACGTGGAGGGTTGAAGGGCGACAACTCCACGGCTTGCTACGCCACCCGCCTTTGAAAACGATCAAAAGATTATCAACCACAGCACGCCTGAAGACTCACAAAAGCTAGCGCGGAATTGATGTTTAGAGCAAGTTGCCGGTCGCCCCGGTGGTTCAGTTGGTAGCCTCGTTATACCATCAAGACAAACGTTTCCCGGACGTTATTCCAGCATTTATGCCAAATACGAATCTCTCTGTCAGATAGCGACTATACTACGCATTGATTGATGTCTGGTGGGGTCGTGTTGGGTTATGGGCTTCAAACATTCAGCACAGGCTCAGGTTTGAGCAGAGACAAGAGAAAGGCATGCACGCCCGCTCACACCAACACGCTGCTAGGAATCAACATTGGTTATATACGTACTGCTGTACACTTGCGTGCGAGTACCAGTGTGCGACCTGTGCCTTCCCTGCTAGTTTTTCTCGTTCACCTGTCACATCACGCTTGTTTTGCACTTGTCGGAATATCGCCGAGTTGAGAGCAGGCAGGCAAGTTTGTATGTTGTTGGAGTTTTGACGACCATCCCTCGGTTGTGAATCGCCGTCACCCCGGCCATGACCTACTCGCAAATCGGATGCACTCCTGCTATTTTGCGTTTGTCAGGCAAACCCTCCAAAAGGTGCTTTCCCTCCCTAATTTGTTACCTTAATACTCATCTTACGTGGCATCTCTTGGGGTGTGCTCAAAACCCACACCCAGTACACTCCCGAGAACTTCGAACCCTCTTCAAAGTGTTAGGGGCGCTATCAGCGAAATGGGGTTTATTCAAGTTGCTGAATGTATTGCAGGAGGGATGGTCTCAATAAATCCCATCCTCTTGGCGTTCTCTCTAAGCTTATGGGGGCAAAGAGACTAGTGATCGCAGAAGACTCAACAAATCTAGCACTTTCATGAAATCGTCCGCAAGAATAACGAGATCAGAATACAAAAGATATTGATATATCTGTTACTTCGGGTCTAGTTGGCCTCTTATTTGTTGCCGGAAAAAGCGAGCATCGATTCCGAACGTTTCACAAGGCATGGGAGCACGGGAGCTCCTTCTGCCCCATTTTTCTCCTCCCGATATCTTACTGTCATTGTTGATGAAAATTCGTTCCATTTTACTCTGCGCTGATTGTTCCTACCGTAGGGCAAACACGGTGCCTCGACGCGTTCATCGTCGCCTTGGGCCAAGCATCCGAGGGAGGGGAGAGGCGCTGGTATTCGTCGACACTGGAGCTGCAGCTGACGTCATTGGACATCTGCAGAGCGTGCCGAATTATCCCGATCATGCGCGTCCGTGTAAATGATCAGACTCCTAGAAGCGTTTGGTCTCCTCGCAAACAACAGGCCAGGCCGAACACAACCATCTCGAGCCGTGTGCCATTGGTGCAGGCTCTTCATTTGACGTGGGCGCTTCCCATGGAAACTCTGCTGCGGAAAGCCGCTGTCGAGCTGTGGACGTCGTCAGAATCTCTTGAGTTACAACGCTGGCAGTGTGTAGCGCTAGGGCCAGCGGGTGTAGGGATGACAGAGCCGGTGCTGAACCCAGATTTCGATATGCCAATATACAACGTGTCGTTTCCCGTACATCTGCGCCATCTGGTACTTGGCATTGGTTTTAATCAGCCTATCGCGGGAGTCGTGTGGCCGACCTCCCTGCAGCAGCTATCGTTTGGGCAGGATTTCAATAGTCCTATGGCCGAAGTCGTGTGGCCGTCCTCACTACAGCATCTATCGTTCGGGCGGGATTTTGATCAGCCTATCACGGGGGTCGTGTGGCCGACCTCCCTGCAGCAGCTATCGTTCGGGCTGCATTTCAATCAGCCTATCGCCGGAGTCGTGTGGCCGACCTCCCTGCAACGGCTATCGTTCGGGCGGGATTTCAATCGGCCTATTGCCGGGGTTGTGTGGCCGACCTCCCTGCACCAGCTATCGTTCGGGAATGACTTCAGCCAACCTGTTGCAGGAGTCGTGTTTCCGGCGTGCCTGGAACAGCTATCGTTTGGGTGGGAATTCGATCAGTCTATTACCGGAGTCGTGTGGCCGGCATCCCTGCAACAGCTATCGTTCGGGTGGAATTTTAATCAGCCTATCGCCGGAGTCGTGTGGCCGGACTCCCTGCAGCAGCTGTCGTTGGGGCCGGAATTTGACCAATCTACTGCCGGAACCGTGTGGCCAGCGTCCTTGCAACAGCTGGCCATCGGGGGTTTGTTCGCCCAACCCATCGTCGAAGTCGTGTGGCCAACCTCCCTGCAGCAGCTATCGTTCGGGCTGCATTTCGATCAGCCTATTGCCGGAGTCGTGTGGCCGACCTCCCTGCAACGACTATCGTTCGGGCGGGATTTCAATCAGCCTATTGCCGGAGTCGTGTGGCCGACCTCCCTGCAGCAGCTATCGTTCGAGTTTGACTTCAACCAACCCATTGCTCAAGTCGTGTGGCCGACCTCCTTGCAACAGTTATCGTTCGGGATGCATTTCAATCAACCTATTGCCGGAGTCGTGTGGCCATCCTCATTACAGCAGCTATCATTCGAGTGTGATTTCGATCAGCCTATTGCCGGAGTAGTGTGGCCGTCGTCACTGGAAAAGCTATCGTTCGGGCCCAAATTCAACCAACGTATTGCTGGAGTCGTGTGGCCGGTGTCCCTGCAGCAGCTATCGTTCGGGTGGAACTTCAATCAACCGATTGCCGGAGTCGTGTGGCCAAGGTCGCTGCGACGTGTGACACGTGATGGAAAAAGCCTGCTGTGAAAGATTGAAAGTTTTTGAGATGGTTGCGCAGTTCTGGTCAGATTCTCAACAACGACCTGATTGTATCGGTGCTATTGCCCAAGCGTAACACTTTTTGTCAACTTTCCTGTCCACATCTTGACTTTAATTGGGGGGGATGTTCTTGTGTCATACTGCGGAGTATGCATGGTACACATGTTTTGAATGCCGTCTTTCAGCCACAACAGCGGCCATGGCAATTGCATTTCCCTTGTAGGATGAAATAGCCAACTTCCTGGTACATGGTGATGAAGGTTTTGGGATCTCGATACGGGAGGGTGTCTACATTTCATGAGACGGACATGCATGAATCTTAATCTTGTCAAGGCGTCAATATGTGGGTTTAGGCTCAGACATGTAGTTTTGGCAGCGAGACAAGGGCAAAGAGCCATCATTGTTCCGACTCAAGCTAGAGGCTGTGGTGTAACGTGTATTGGAATCTTCATTTTGTGTAGGGCTTATACGACAAGATAATTCCCCGTAGTTGTTGAGACGCACTCTGGATGTGTAATACGTACGTGCCCATGGTCGAGAATGGTTGAACCAGTACGTATGCTCGGTGTTGGACAGAGACAGACTGGAAAGCGTTTTCAAGGTGAAGGCAACGAAAACAACAATAACCTTAGTCTCATCCCGACTGTTTTCACCCCGGCAGGGCAATCATTCCTTCTTATGGAATTGGTGCCGCCCCGTCCTGTGGTCAGTTGGAAATGTCGCGGGCTTGACATCACTGGAATGGTACATATATGAGCAATGTGGGGTGGAAATACGATACATTTAATGAAGGGGCTGCTGAACCTTTCTCGCGTAAAACGTTGAAGGGTAGCACCACAAAGAGAGATGAAGGAAGAAGAAATGAGGCTCTAATGTATTCTCTTCCACGGAGTGGATCATTTGATGGAAGTGTTGGATTTGGTGAGGCTTCCGACCGCGGGTAGGGGTTCTCGCCTCTGTGGATATTCCCTGCCGGTGCTGAGAGCCCTCGCTGCACCGGGAGGGCACATCCTTCAAATGATCGCAGCACCAAGTGCTGCGTGGAACGTCGAGGCTTCGGGAGCGAAAGAGACAAGTGATCTATTGTAGTACATTTGTCCACATCAACGTTTGCCCGATATAGTTCCAATTTTGTGTCAAGTTTGAAGGTTTCGATCGGGTAACGATTACGGTCGACCAGGAGTTGTTTATGTTTGGGTGCGGCAGCTTTGTCACAGGCCGAAAGAGAAAGAATGTTGACTACACGTATATAAAGTTGTTGATCAGAGAGTGGTAGACAAGTGGAGAAGCTCATAGGGCCCCCACGCATCATGTCCACCATACAGCATCATCCATGTAGTAATCCCCGGAGGCCCCGTAGATCATCAGCACTCCTCTGAGCAACCCAAACAGTCCCCCTGCTCGGCACGAAATACGATCCACGACACCTTTCTCATGAAGTGCCAGGTAAAACGGCAGATAAATCACAACCAACACCGCAGGGAGATTTGTTGGGAGTAGAAAATGAAAGAGAAGGTCCAGGGTTTTACCTTCCTGCATTACCCCCGCTGGTGAGTCCAATACATACGTACCGTAAGGCGCATACTGGCGCCCAGACTAAATGCGACGAAAACGCACACGTATACACGAGCAGTCCCCGCACCCACTACACGGCATACTTTTTGGAAAATTCTGGGGGCAGGAACGAGGGGGGCACCTTGCAGTCGAGGTCTACCAGTGCACTCTTTCGAAGGGGCGCTCCCAGTGGAAACCATGGACATCGATGTCAATTTTGGTCGGGAGGGCGGGAATATTCCCCAATTGCAAATTGGCAGAGCTGGTTGTGGAACCGTCAAGGAGTGCAACGGTACCCTTCGGAGACGAGCAAGCGCGTTGAAACGCTTAGCCAGCAACAACAAACCATTAGTTCGATGGCAGAGCTCCGAACATAGCGTCCCAATACCCCCGCAGCTCCGTCCAACCCTTAACTCTACCCGAACACTAAGCGCCACTCTTCCTGGGACAGGTTAAGCTCCAGCGTTGATACTTGTATGTGTACTGCTGCTGCTGCACAAGCACGGGGAATGAAAGATGCGACATCGATCACTGCCTTACCATCTATCGTGCACAGGTCTTGTACACTTTGATCTCGCTCTGACTAACGGCAGACAGCAGGCCATTTCCGGACGAATAGTCCTGGAGACAAGCGAAGTCTAACACGGGACTGCGGTGAGAAGCGAGGCGATTGCACACGTCTCCAGTCGACGCGTCCCACATCCAGGGCTGACCAGAGGTGAACATTCCACGCGAGAGGGAGTGGGGGGGGGGGGGTACGAGGGAGGAAGGACCCCGTTAAGCCGGACACGTGATACAACCCACCCGCGGTTCGCATATGGGTATCGAATAAATCGCGGTCAACAAGAGCCACATTGGTCGACAGCGGAACGGGAGACACACCATCACCCTCTGACCCTCCCACGAGCCAGAACTATCCATTTTTCTGCCAATAAACGTACGAGAACCAGGTCGTACACTGGGCCCGATACTCTACTCGCCGCAATTAACAGATTCCCACCAATATTTCGACTGTCATGGTGAGTCAGTAGCCAAATAGAACCAGTGGTAGAAGCAGCAAGTGTCCGCAAGTGCTTCCGTTCGGCCCAGCCTAAGAATGCAGAACGCTCAACGATTCGGGAAAATGCAGGGACAAATCACGACCAAAACGTAGAAGGACTCACGCAGGCCCCCTTCCTCAATCAACGCGCTGTGAGATTGTGACATACCAACGGACGTTCACAAATATAAATACCCACCTGTTTCGTCCGTTCGTCTCCACCAGCGATGAGTAGGCCATCCCCTGGGGACGGATCCCACAGCAGCGACCTCGAAAGCGTGTGCTGACTTTGGTGTCCCTGTAGGAAAGTGTATAGCCAGAGCCCGTCACAACAGGTGGCCGGGCGTGCAACAGGCGAATCGATTTTGCAGCACCCATACGGCGTTCACGCAACAACCTCACACGGTCAGCACGTCAGTCCGAACCCTACAATAGTAGATTCATCCGCGCGCGACTGGTTCTGCGATGGGTGCCCTCGAGACTCTTGTTCTTGTAGCCTACCAGGTATTTGGTGCGCGTTCTGTTGATGTCACGATCGCGGAGGATCGTTGAAACTTGTTTATTAACGATGGTTGGCTGTTTCTGGTCGTGGCAATAAGGCTCAAGGGCGCATTGACCCTGACAAAAAAATAATCTGAGGCGTTCTCAACGAAATGAAGCATTGGCCTGTACCTGTGCGACGCGGGGGGATCGCGTCCACCTGTCCGCCCACGAACGGCGTGCGACCACCGCTGACAGCCGCGCCAAAGACGTGTCAAAACCTAGAGACGAAGGTTGTCGCTCCACAGCATGCTCGCACTCAAACTTTTCCTCGCTCTGATCCTCCTCCATCGCCACGTTACCTCCCGCATCTCGCTGTCCTTCGACAGCCACCTCCTGGTCCTTATGACTCTCGGCTGTAGGATTTTCTCCAACACCGGCGGCAGCGGCTGCTTGCCGAGAGCAAGCGGACGCCGGCGCTAGCCTAAAGACGGTATGGCTTGCTGACGAACCCCGCGTAGAGACTAGGAAGGGTTGCTGGTCGACGTCGCTGCTGCTTGCCGCTGCCGTACCATGGCTCTGGGAGAGAGAGCAGCACGCTCCAGCCTGCGACCGAGAATCGAGGGATCGTCGCCAGACAACAACCGTGCGGTTTCAAGCTGAAGAGTTAAACGTGGCCAAATCAACAGCAATCTGAACGTTTGCAACCACTTTCAATCGTCGCTTGACAGCTTGAGAGCCATGAGGAATGCTGATACGCGATACCATAAGATCAAGAAGATGATGGAACGATCGTCTAGTAGGGACAAAGCATTGGCATGATGTTGTTCGTCGACGGAACCGCGAAAAACGCTTTCGTGTCTACCTGAATTTGGAGCTTTTCCGCCGCCTGCTCCTCCCGATCCCAGGCCTCGCTCACCCCGCCTTCCTTCGTACCACCACCCCACGCCCAAACGCCTCCCATGGTGGCACAACATAGTACATCGTCGGCGGTGTGGCAAATGCTATGGATGGGCTGCCTCTGGCTTGCCGCGGCGCGAAGCTTGCGAACGGCGCCCGCTGTAGAGCGAAGGTCGAACAGCTGAACCGCCGAAGTCCTAGTCCCATCGACGACACCACAGAACATCTGAAAAGATAGACACGTCGAGATTGAAACAGCCTCCATTTGTATGACGAATTACACCATTGGACGGGTGAACAGATTGGTGGCGTTTAGCTATATCTGCATCGAGTTCGTGTCAAGAGATTGGGGCTTTCGACCCTGCACCCGAGCGTCGGAGCTAGAGCGCTCTGTGCAACACACTGCTGAATCCGGAGAGGCCTTCTCTCATCGATGGCACGCTAGGTTCGATGCTTTGGCATCTGATCAATTTTCGATGCTGCTTTGTGTTGTGTGCTTCGCCCGTGGCTGAGGCTTTTCCCTGTGTCCCTGGGTTGCTACCCTGGGTCTCCTCATCTCAACAGCTGTTGCCGCCACTGAATCATGTCAGAGCGCTTACCGCCCATCCCTTGCGTCCGTACACCACACAAACAGGATAGTGCAAGCATCGACTGAGGAAACCCAACACAATGCCAAGCACGATTGCCACAATAAATGAAAAGCTTCGCCGTAGAGGTCATACCTGGGTTGGGGCTGTGGAGCTCCACTGGCAAGACCATCCGCTCCCCTCCAGCTCATACTGCACCACGACGCTATCCGTCCGGAGATCACACACCTACCGCCAGCGACCAATCATGGAAACAATATGGTAGAACCGTCGCCGTATCCGTTTCGGCGGTTCTCTCGTTGAGGACACTTTCCGCGTGAAAGGCACAGAAAATGTTTGAAACATGTAGTACCTCGTGGAAACCCCGGGGGGAGATGCAGCGGACATCTCGTACTAACCGGTCGACACGTGGTAAAATTACACCTGCGGACCTGCATGTCGGAATGATCTCTTCCAGCGGTGACCTGTTGTCTGTGTGTTTGGAGCTCCGTCTGTTCGGTGGTTCTGACTCTCGGCAGCTTTACTCCTACGTTGGTTAATGAGACCGATATCGCTTTATCAGTCTCTACCCCGGGAAAGGACTTATGATAGCGCGAAACCAAAGGCTTGATTCACTGACCTTTAACGTCTTGTCGAAGGAAGTGCTGAGGATGTACCCGACGCTCCCACCGTCTGCGGAGAACTTGACATCTCTCACCTGCTCTCGGTGCAGATGGATGCTCTTGTTGTGACGGAGATCCGCAAGGCTAAACTGCGACAAGGAATCGGCGAGCGGACGGAAATACGGCCCCCCATCATTCGCGGGATTGCTACACTAGTTCGGTGATTTGGTTGTCGAAGGCGGATTCTTTCGAAGCGTCTTCTCTTGTGTTCGCAGAAAATGCGCACGTGTCCTTCAGGTATCCAGGATTTCATGCAGCATGACGATGAGAAAAGGATATCACGGGGATCACTTGGCGCCAACGTGGTGTTGTTATTTTTGGGGAATATTATTTCGGGCTTGCACAACAATACATCACACACAAACACCATACCGAGAGGGCGCCACGACTAAAAAACGAGTCAAATAGCAAAAACTGAGGCAACTGCTGTGATCGCACCCTACAGTCTGTCGCCACTTTGAGTGAAAGGATCATGCTGCAGGATCGTTCTCGACGTGGTACTCGCCAAGAAACCGTGGACGGAACAGCTTGGACCGGACGTTTTCGAACCACACCTAACGCACGCATCGCACCTTCGTGACTCCATGCCGCAACGAACCCCGGGACCCACCGGCGATGCCCAACTCTTGCGAGACTACCAGCGCGCCAGCCGCTCCCCCGGCGAACGCGGCCACCCTTCCCGAGAGCACATCCCGCGAGAGCAACTGCTCGAATCGCACGGCGACAGTGCTGCCTACCGCCGCCCCCTCGCTCCCGCTTTCCGTGGCAGCCAAGCCCCAACCGCCGCTACCGCCGCCGGCGCCAACATCCAAGTTACCGATCGGTCGTCGCGGCGGAGGAGTCTTGAATTGCGGGTAGGCCACGGCGGGGCCCGAATGGCTTATTTTGGGGCAGGGTGTCATGAAACTGTTACTGCCAATGTCGACGCTGCTGCTGTACGCAACTGAGGACACCCCGGGCCCTGCACCCCCAGGAGTAGCGAGTTGGCTCAAGGTCCGTTTTGGCTTAGGGCACCCCGGAGTAGAAACGCTTCCTTGGCTTCGCGCGACAATGGATGAGACGACGCCGGCACCGCCTTGATCTAGTCGCGAGAGTCGGTCTTTCAGGCTAGCGTTTTCGATGGACACCCGCACCCTCTCCGCCTCGCACTGGGTGGTGGGCGACGGCATCGGAGAGAATCATGGGTGCGGACCAGGTCAGTGAAGGTTTGAGGCCGGTGGACCGTCGATGGCATGCGGTGAATACCACCTGACACGCAGGCGTTCGTACTGCCTTGCACTTGTTGTTGCCATCACACACCTCGGTGAGAACATCAACATTGGGTGTTCACTCCGAGCCGAGATGAGAGCATGTCTTGTGAGGGTGTCACGAGATGTTTCAGGTCAGCGTGTCGCCCTGTCTTAAGCCTCACTGAAAGAAGCTGCAGCATTGGACTGGGCATCCAATTGCTTGTGCTTGCAGCGGCTTTTGTTGTCTCTACTATGCAAGTTGGCCATACGTTGGGCGAGCGCCACTCGAGCTCCTACACGCGGCCAAACTTGACGTCGTCCAAGAGACAAACGGGGGGCACCCCACACCTGTTTACGGAGGCGTTTCTCTTCTTCGAGAAGCGTCCGCGCCGTTTCCAGCTCTCCCGTGTCCTGTGCGACCAGGTTGTGGAGGAAGAGCGGGATGATTCTGTTGGTGCCCTTTGCCCCCACCTTGGTGCCGCACTGGGGGCAGCTTCGCCTCTCCTTTTTCCGGGACGAGAAAGAGCAGGAAAGCGAGACAACAATGAGGACATGAACCGTGCGGGGGAGGATCAACCGCAGTCGCTGAGACACTACTGGCTGGTTGCAGAGGTGAAATCGCGCTATAGTAACCTTACTCCAGGCTATGGCGACAACCACCGAACCTCTACTACCGCGAATGCCTCTCCTCCGACAAGAAGTTGCCCGTAAGGCGAATGATGAGAAAGGTCATGAAATCAATATCGCTACTTCTTTCGGTCAACGCCCACAATTCGAACCGCGTTATCTCCACGACATGTACATTTTTGGGCATCTCCTGTTCACGGCGACGACTTCACCCCTGTCTGGTAGTCGACCACAAGGGGGGGGAAACTTAGATTCGGTGACCCGTCGGTGGGGGCACCCACAGAAGATAAAGCAAGAAATATCCAGAGGGTGGGCCATCGTACCGAGCCACGGCTCACCCACACGGAGTATGCAAAACGATAGCGCGAGGGAGAAAAGGGATTCGAGTCTCCGCAGAGGCGCCAGAGATGCAGGCGGCTTACCTTCAGCCACCTCTCGATGCATGATTGCCCGAACAGGTGTCCGCAGAGAAGGGTGCAAATCCTGGGGAATGCAAGAGACAATAGCATTAGTGCACGCGGTGTGAGGGCGAAAGAAATCCATGTTAGACGTCAGCACATGATACCCACACTCGAGTGCAAAACTCTGATTTCCCAGGTTTCCAACGTGAGGTTTACATGATAGAGCAGCGGGGTCCGATACCACAAGAATCGCCAACACGTTGTCTCTACGGTATCGTACGAGGTCCCTACCTGTGTTTGCCTTTCGATGTCCATGGGTCGAGGCATATGCTGCACCGCTCGCCGTCCTGTGAAGATAGGGAAAGCGTTGGAATATCAAGCAACAGCAACTTATTGACGTCGTTCATCATTTGCTCCGAAACTTATAACGCCGCTTCTATAATAGACCTACCGATATGGTAGTATGATATCAATTAATCAAGCTTTGGTTTGGCCGTTTCATCGCGCATCTCGTGCTTAACCCTCCTAGTACCCAGTCCGCGCAAAAAAAAATGTCGCAAATTTGTTTGTCAGCCATCGGTCGAGGGGCTACAGTCCCTCCAAATAATCTGAGTTCCTTGCCAGACGAAGGGTGACTTGGCTTCAATATGAAAAGTGTCCCCAAAACACGTGGGGACATGTTCCATGCTGAAGCCAAGTCAGCAGATTTTCCAATACCAGGCGATGTACAGTTTTACAACCTACTGTAGGGGGCACGCGGGTTGGGAGATGTGTACGGCAAGTCAGAGGCCCAGGAGAGGCATCACACAGCATATCACACAGCGTACCACCTCAGCCAAACATGATAGACCAAGGGTTCTCACGTGCGTGGCACACAGCGGAGCCTAGGGTGAATACAGTGCCGTAAATAGGCATTTGAGTCCCCCAAGTGTCTCCATTTGGGCTTCCAATGCTAGGAGGGTTAATGGCCAAAACAAGGAGCATTTACCGTTTCACCCGGCGTGACACGGAAGAGCACGTCCTTCGGCGCAAAAAAAAAACCGTGAAATCATTGAGAGCAGGCTGCCGCCAACCACAAGGAAGGCAGGAAAACCTACCAGGTCGCAGTGGCTGTGCCTTAGCCTTCCTTCGTTTCTACGACGAGCTTGAGGCAGAAGAAGGTCGACCGACGTCCGCGGTCTCTTCGTTTCCGACTTGTTGCAAACCAGGTACAACATCCAGCCTCCGTATGTAACCTTCTAGTGCATATAAACGACAACAGCCATTTGTGCCCAGCACGGCGCCACGAATACAATAAGCCAGCAAATCCACTCACCGCCTCAGGAGCTCCGCGTGATGACCCAGTGCTACATGTAGTACTCCTCTTGCGCTTTTTCAGCTTGTCGCAAGCATCCCCGTCCTTGCCGGGTGGGCCAGATTTCGAATCAAGTGGCGAATCTGCCGACACCGCTGCGCCTGCTCCTCGTGCTGCTGCTACTGCTGCTGCTGCTGCCGCCGCTGCTGGTCTCCGCGGAATTGCGTACGGATTCCGTGCTTGGAGGAATGGTCGTTGCTGTGCTGCCTGTGGCCGCGTCCGTCCGCCTGCCCTATTGGTTGAATCGTAGAGCGCTTTTGTCGCTTGTGGTGGTGCGGCATACCTCGGTTGGGGGCACTGCAAACAAACCGAAGCCATGTTGCGCGATTCGGGGGCCGCGTTCTCCCGCTGAAGTGCACCAATTGCCGCGCCCGAGCCTGTCACCCTCTCCCGTTGCCGGGAGCTGTACCCTTCCTCTGTCGGCGGTGCCGTGGGTGTTGCCGCTGCAGTTGTCGCTGCCAGCATTGGACCTGGACACGGGCCCGTGAGATCGACGAAGCTTGGCGTTGGTTCCATCGCGTAGAAACTACGACTTTCACGTCCGAGCTGTCGCGCGCGCCTTCAGCTTGCTCTCACAAGCTCCTTGTAGTTGTGCGCACTCTCAAAGCGTTGTGCAGGGGTGTAGGCTGCTGCTGATTATGCAGAGATCGGATCACACGCAATACACACAACGGCCAAACACGAGGCAACGCGGTTCTAGATACGATATTGACACCGTGTCACCGCCAAACCGATCGCTTACAACAGACACACCATCGCTTCCACAATGTAGCAGCGTTCTCGTGAAATGCTGTGTCACGGAGGGCTGGGCAGTCACAGCATCATCAGTCCCAAGCTCATGCAGTCGGGAAGAGGCGGGGGGTTTCCGCGGTGTCGTGAGAAACAACTTCCGGGTATGCACTATATCTTGATTGCGAGCCCCCTCGGATTTCGGGAGAGAACATACCAAACCGCGTGCCGGTGCAAAGTGAGTAGGGAGGGGAGCGTTGCATTCACTGTCACGCACTATACAGTTCCCTTAGTGCAGCCTTCATCCACTGGGCAACTTTCGGGGTGGCGAAATCTTTGACGAATCACGCTCTCTGCGGTGGAACGTAGCAAGTCTGCGCGCGGGTCTTCTCGCACCGCTGTAGGGGAAGGATGGCGGCCGTAGCGGTGGCAGGACGAACAACAACAACAGCAGAGCCCGCCGCTGGAAAGGGTGCAGGAGCAATGACAGCAGCTTCTTCCGGGCGAGATCTCGGGGTGCACTCGTACTACCAGGGGAAAATCGACGAGATGGAGCTGGTGGTGAGGGATCGGACGCAGAACCTCGAGCGGCTCAAGGCGCAACGCAACGAGCTGAACGCCAAGGTCCGGCTATTGCGAGAGGAGCTGCACCACCTGCAGGAGTCGGGATCGTACGTGGGGGAGGTGGTGAAGGCCATGGGGAAGAAGAAGGTGCGAGGCGTGCACACTCTACATGCTGATTTTGTTAAACGTTTCGATGTTTGTGCTTGTGTGCATCTCTCGCTCTCCCGTTTCCCTTGGGAGTTGTAGCTCCTGAGAACGAAGGCACGGGGGTATCTATTATACTGCTGTGATCTCGATGTTTCTACATACCCCTGGGCGTATTGTGGAATAACGTTACGTGCCGACGTTGGGAAGTTGCACCTTATGCACGCGCACAGACCGTGTGGGCCATCGTCGCGTCGTAGGTGTTTGACGTTGTACAACGCTCTACCCACAGCAGTAGTCTGTCATCCAACAAGGCACTGCTGCTGTTATTTTGCCGCACTCCGCCGCTGAGAATCCTCAACAAACACTCAAACTCAATCACGCACCGACGGCAGAAGGTGCCGTCCTTCTGTGATGCGGTGAACGTTTTCTGAAGTGGTCGACCTACACGGCTCCCTCAATCCAACCACGTACCACCTGATCTGCAGGAAATTAGCGGTCAACGATGCACACCGAAGTAGTTCCTTTTGCGGAGTGAGTTCCCCGTCGGCAGGCATTTCGTTGGCAAGACAGGTTCTTCTCAAGCGTTTCAGCAATATTTGTGCGCTATCGGCAGCGTGGGTGAAGTCGGGTGCATTTCTGGAACGCCAGCTGTGCTCTAGATACAACAGGAAGAAGCGGGATGACACCACGGGCGGTCACGCTCTGGGATGTGATTTCAACCTATTTTGTTTTCGCACGCCCCCACACATCAACTCCCTCAGCCCACCCCCGGTTGAAAAATAAAAAAAAAATGGTGTTCGGACGAATCTCGAGTTTGCCAGAGAGTTCGCGGCTTACCGAAAACCGAACACGTAGTTGCTGAAGGTAGAGGCCAGGCGAAAGCTTAGCTGAAAGAGATGCCCATGCGGAAGCGACTGCTGCTGTGAAGCTGAGCAAGTCCTGCTTCACCCTGTGTGTAGTAGCTACCGTATGACCGACTACCAAATGCAAACTGCACCCTGGACTTGATGCAGGTCCTGGTGAAGGTGAATCCCGAGGGAAAGTACGTGGTGGACATCGACAAAGACATCGATGTCAACAAGTGCACACCCAACACGCGCGTCGCTCTGCGCAACGACTCGTACGTCCTCCACAAGATTTTGCCGACAAAGGTACGCCGGGAGGGAGTATTGTGAGGGTGATAAGCTACTTGTGGTGCCGCGGAACACAGGCTGTCCTTCGTCCGTTTTGGGAAAGGGTCGAGATGGCCCTGCTTGTATATCGCACGACGGACCGCCACGATTGCGGCAGTCGCGTGGTGGTTCGATATCCTCTGGGTTAATTCTGGACGAGATGTGTCAGCGGCGACTCTCACTCCGGCTGCGCCTGGACCCACGCCGACACCTTTAACTGTATTTTGATCGGACGGCACTTCTTGCTGTACTGTAAGCGTATTTTTCTCTGCGCCGGTGACACCAGAGCAAGGCCGCGAAACCATCGCTGTCGTGGTGCAATAAAGTACGAGCTTTTATTGTCAATGGCTCTTCGTGGGTTTGGCTGCATCACCGATCCTTCCCACCGCGCGAGGCAACGGCTACTTAGGTTCGACGGTGTTGCTAACAGTCCCGCACCCTGCAGCAGGAGGAGTTGTTTCCGACTCATTTGTTTGCTTGTCGTCGTCCTTGATGATTTACCCTTTCTTGGCGCAGTCCTTCACTATCCTCTACTGTAACACTTCAGTACCTGTTGTTGTCGAGTTGATGTCCGCCTTTTTTGGATACATGTACACCTTCGTGCTGCTGTACCTTCGCTTGTCCTTGCAGGTGGACCCGCTGGTGAGCCTGATGAAGGTGGAGAAGGTGCCGGACTCAACCTACGACATGATCGGTGGGCTGGAAAAGCAGATCCGGGAGATCAAGGAAGTAATCGAGCTACCTATCAAGCATCCGGAGCTGTTCGAGTCGCTGGGCGTCGCTCAGGCAAGCACGGATCTACACCCCATACCAGTCGACTCCGGCCACGTTGAATATTTTGGACAATACTGCCCGCCCGTATATTGTGACGAAGGGTCATCATGGCTAGCAACACGTTGTTCTCGTGGCGGCATCACTGCCAATGGTCAAGGTAGACTGAAGAGCAACATCCCCGCCCCACATGTGCCCCGAGCTCGCAAATGTCTCCTTGCGGTTTGCTCGACGCTCTTGCCGCGGCGGCGACTCTTGAAGAAGACGTGGCCAAAGCTGGGAACGCTCATCCTCCCCACCCGCCGTTGTCCCTCCTCGTGCAGCCCAAGGGCGTCCTCTTGTACGGACCCCCCGGGACGGGGAAGACGCTCCTGGCACGGGCCGTGGCACATCACACCGACTGCACCTTCATCCGCGTGTCGGGGTCGGAGCTGGTGCAGAAGTACATCGGGGAGGTGTGTGTGTGTGTGTGTGTGTTTTTTTTTTTTGCGTCGACCGCGCTAACCGGCCAAGCATTGAAAATACGTCAGTCTCGGTGCGGTTGAAAACACAAAACACTTGTAAATGTCATTGTCGAGGACTTCGTGAGGGGGCGGCATGGGGCTAAGCTGTGTATCTGGATAAAAGACAGAAACGGTAGCGTATGTGCGTGTGTGTGTCTTTTTTCTCGTCGTTCTACCGCGAAACATGCAGTACGCGGACTACCGAATCGTATGCGTTTTCCGTGCAGAGGTCCCCGCACTCGGTTAGGAGCACACAGCGAGAGCTACGCTTTTTAACAACGCCCGGGCTGTGTGCGATAGAACCAGCCCCGCCGCATCAGTTACGGTAGGACATGGATATCACGGAGCAGGTAGCGTCGTGGGACCCGTTGCGGAATGTATGCATGCGCGTGGTTATACCTTGCTTCTACGGGCAGTGCCATGAACACAAGTGTGCGTTGTATTGGATTGGGTGATTACAGGGGTCGCGCATGGTGCGCGAGCTGTTCGTCATGGCGCGAGAGGCGGCCCCATCGATCATCTTCATGGATGAGATCGATTCCATCGGCAGCAGCCGGGTGGAGGGCAGCGAGGGGGGGGACTCGGAGGTGCAGAGGACGATGCTCGAGCTGCTCAACCAGCTCGACGGCTTCGAGCCGACGCAAAACATCAAGGTGTGTGTGCGTGTGTTTTCTCTGTTGTAGCTTTGACCGCGCTGAGCGATAAAAACATGCCAACCAACTGCAGTTGAAACCCCGAACGAGCAGACCCGTGGATTGGCAGGTGTAAAGTGAGAAGAAGTGCCCAGCCTCGTGTTTCAAAAGTAGATATTTTTTGCTAGATAGAATACGAGTTGCTCATGAGGTATGATCAAGGCATGTGCGTGGTTGCTAGCGTGTTGACGCTCTTGGCTCTCCGTTGTCTCACATCTGGCGAGATTGTTTGCGTGTTGACCGATTTTGTTTCCCTCTTGGGTGGAGTTTTGATGTAGGCCGCAAAGCCGGGGTGTTTTTTCGCATTTCACATGTTGAAATGCACGATTGTGAAGAATAAGCCGGGTGTCGTTTCCACGGTTCCGATACAACCTCGACATGCGTGTGGCAAGAGCAGCTATTTCGAGGCGGTCAACTTGATATGGTTGGGGAAAAGTCTCAGTGATGTTGGCGGCTGACGATTTAGATTTCGTGTCTAGGATTGTGCACGACCTCCTTCTGGAAGGTCAGTGGTGATGTTGTATGGCACCGGCAGTTTTTCTCACAAAGCTGAGACGGGATGCGAGTTGGAGTGCAGTTTCCGGAAACTTAAGGGATGAACCAGACTCCGTTGCTGTTTTGTGCAGAGCTCAGATGGTTTTACGTGCAACCAGCCACCTCCAGTGCACACCCGAGGGAATGGGCTAGCGCGAGGCCTTTTGTCACTCACGCGCACAGGATTTGTCTTGTTCGGGTCAGGCGTTCTTGGGGAGGCGGGGGAGGGGGAGACACGATGCCTACACTACAAGGGTCCCTCCGCATTTGCGAGAATGGAAAACCTGTACCCCGCCCCCCCATCGGGACCCAAATTGGCGGCTGTACTTGTTTACGGGGTAGTATGGCTTAACGTAAAACCTATTTTGTCTTTATAGTATAAGCTTATCTGATACTAAAGCCTATAGAATAGACCCCCCCCCCCGGCCAAAAATGACGCCCAGCCTATGTATGTGTGTTCCATTCTCGCAATACGGAGGGCTCCTCTTGTGCAACGAACGTTTCATTACACCCCGAGTGTGGGTCATATGGCTCCATGTCTCGGTATCCCTCGCCCTCGACCTAAGCTGACTATAGTTCCTGCATCGCAAACGCGCAGGTGGTGATGGCGACAAACCGCATCGATATCCTCGACCCCGCCCTCCTGCGGCCCGGACGTATCGACCGCAAGATCGAGTTCCCGCACCCCACGCTCACGTCGCGCATGGACATCATGGGCATCCACTCGCGCAAGATGAACCTTTTGCGCGGCATCGACCTCAAGGTCATCGCGGAGAAGATGCCGAGCGCCTCCGGCGCGGAGTGTAAGGTGGGTTTTGCGTGTCAGCAATTTTATTTAACGCCCCCAAGCTGGACATAAACAAGGGTATTTTGAACGCTTATTTGCGTATTTTGATTGGAAGGAAAGAAACGGAACGTGGCTTCGCCTGCCGTCCCGATGCTTGGGACTGTTTTTGGAGTCAGGGGCTTAGGTGGTACATTTCCTTTAACGCACCACGCTTGAGGCAACCAATACCTCCTGCAACAATATCAAGTGATGACCGATGTAGAGCGTTTGTTTCACTCGGTCGGGGTATTATTGGGCTTGGCCTCGCGTCCTTCCCCATGCACTGCTGGTGATTCTCTCTCTCTCTCTCTCTCTCTCTGTCCCTCCGTGTTGCTAGTGGGTCTTGAGAGGACATATCCACTCAGAACCTTGCATCTGTTTGGGTGGCTTCAAATGCGTGGGTGGTTTACACAGATGGCAGCATGCTTCCTACTCTGGCAGTTACAACCTTTCATGGAACGGTTTCGCCTCGTGGCGTTGTAGTATATCCGGCACGCTCACGGCATGCGCGTGGGTTCTCTGAACAACTGAACGGAAAGCGTATACATGTTGGCTTTCAGAAACTTTGGGGATCGATGTTCGGCATGTTCTTCCTTTATACGGGAGCAAACCGATGTCTACTTGCTGCTTCGTAGTTGCTGCTTTTTTCGTTTCTTACGAGCATAGGTATACATCAACAAGCGTGGAATGCTTGCTGGGTGCTGATCGGGGCTCGGAAGAAGGGGTAAATATGTTTCACGTTCCCTCGTAACCCCTCTCCTATCCGCGCGCGTGCTTTTGCCTTATTTTCCTTCTTGGTTGGCGTTATTGGTCGCCAGGCGGTGTGCACAGAGGCGGGTATGTTCGCGCTACGGGAACGGCGCATCCACGTGACGCAGGAGGACTTCGAGATGTCGGTTGCGAAGGTCATGAAGAAGGACAGCGACATGAACATGTCCATCCGCAAGCTGTGGAAGTAGATGGAAGGTCGATTTGTTGCACTGGGAGACGACCAATTTTGTTTCTGTTCTTCCCGTTTTGGCTGTTTTTTGTGGCTGAGTTGGTTTTCTTGATGCCTTGGAGAGAAAGCGCCTCGTGTAGTTTGTTTTTCGGCTGAAGTTGTGTACAGCTCTCGTTTGGTCGTGGCAGTATTGATCGAGATATTGGTGGACAACCGCAGTTAGAGGAGAACGGGCGTTGTCTTGTTTGTACCTTTGAAGATGGGTCGCAACAGCGGTACTGTTTGTTCGAGGTTTTGTCGTCAATTTTTTTGCCGAAGACCATGGGGTTTGTGTCCGAGCTGCCCTTCGGGATCTAGCTTTTATGATGGCGGTCCCGCGTGTTGAGCGAGATGAACCAGCAGGCTGTACTGTAGCAGCGGCGAGTATGCTTATTCTGCATGGCTCTAGGGGGCGGTGACAAGAAATGTGCGCGGAGTTTCGATGTGCAAAACCAGCTCGTTGTTACTCTGGCACAAACGCTTACAAGAGACGCCAAACGTTTGCGGGGTTCGGGCTTGACCGAGAAAATCAATAAAAAACATGACACACCAAGGCGTGGTTGATTGTTTGGGCGCGACCCGCGATGTGTCCGAGCGCTCATGTGGGTCTGGCGGAAGCATGTGCTACCTTATGCCGCCACCCTGTCGAAAGGCGGGTGGATGCGTTCGCTCATTGGAATTTTTGAATTTCAATTATTTTCTTTTAGCCCTTCGACAGATATGAGTCCGGGATAGACAGCAATGGATTCATAGTGTTGAAGTTAATTGGACCACTGGTGTGCAGAAGAAGAAATCCTGCTTCATTGCGTTGAAGACACGTACAGAAACGCGAGGCACCTCTCATGACAGCAGTGTCGTCGTCAACCAGTGCAAGTGCAACCGCGTCGGGGGCACACGCGTTCACGAGGGAGGTACATACCCCTTTGGGATAGGTTGGTTCTGTTTCGAGTCACGGAGCTCCGGTGCTTGGTTCTGCTGCTCCGCTTCACGGCTTGCTTGTTGCAGCTTTGGCCCTTTCAGCTTTGGCTTGGTGGTGGTCAGGTGCACACCAATCAGAGTTGCACGCCGACACGAGCACGTGCAAGCGAGCGGAGTGGTGGAAAAATGTCCACTTCCCACCTGTATTCGCTTCGTGATGAGAAAAGACGAGAGCGCCTCGAATGGTGAGGCAGGAACTGCTGTCTGTCGCCTACAACAAATGCAAGGTCAACTGGCTGTATGCTACAAGTTACAGCAACAGCAGCGCAGCAGCAGTACAAAGCAAAAGCGTTACAGCAGCGTGCATGTTACGACGCCCTGCACAGTAGCTTCTGTTGATCACGTAGACGTCTAGGCATCTTTGTTCATGATGAGGTTTGTGCGGCTGCGTACTGATGCTGCCACGCTGCTACTCTGTGCGCAAAAACCCGGTGTGTGTGCGGAGAGTACTGGTACGTCTTAGCAATATGATTGTAGTAAACACCAACACGTCTGTCGACGCCCGCCTACAGTCTGTCGACGCCCGTTTACAGGTGTGTTGGTTGTACAAACGGCTACAGATGGGGCATGGATAACCATTGCGTTTCGCATTTTTGTGGTGCCAGTCTACGCTCTGTCTGCTTGTCTGCCTGTCTGTCTGTCTGATGTCTCTCTCTACCCCCCCCCCCCCCCCCCCCCCC